TTTCATATTTATATTTTATGAAGAGGGAACAAATATTATAATGTTCCAAACTTGATAAAGAATTGTAAGCTTTTCAAAAGAAACTAAAGTTAAAAATGTTTTATATTTTTTATCTTTAATATTTTTATTTTTAATATTTTAGTTTTAATCTTACAGATAATTATAGAAATAAAATTAAATAACATATTATTATAATAACTTAACCCATATTGTCAATGTAAAAAATTAGAAATTTTTAAAAAAAAACGTCTTTGAGCAAATAAATAATTAAAATTTTAATATTTACGTAGATTTACACTAAAAAAAAATATGAAGTTTTGCAAGACCCAACTTAATTAAATAGGTTAAAAAAAAAATATCACAAAAAAAAATAATACTATGTCTAAAGCTTATTCTGTATTATTATATCAAAAAATATATTTTACTTTCTTGTTGAAATTTTGAAAACTTCATATTCTTCAACTGAAAAAAAAAACTTTAGGATTATAAAAGATGGATCCACGCATAAATTCATTGGAACGAATTGGTTTAGGATATGCATTACAAACCATGCAATAACATCTTTTATCGGTTTTCAAATTACCAGTTAAACTTAAAGCATGGCCAAAACCTAAATCTTTCTTTGGAAAATTATAAATGGCATAATTAAAATCCTTCACCCGACTTAAAATATAATTTTTCAGATTTTCGGTTTTCAATGAAAACACAAAACTTTCTGTGGTCTTATTGTGCTGATGATTATAGCTATCCCAATTAAGATGCTTGTACCTTCCAAGAATTTCTCCTGTACCTTAACTTTTAAAACAATAACTGTATTAGCTACTTTATCACAGATATTATAAATGATTTTAACATCAAAATCTTCTTTAGATCCTCTAACAAGTAATTCAAAGTCATATGGATAATTTTCAATATGGGGTAATTATTTTTTATCAATCCAGGATTAAATTTCTGGAGCATGTTCACTATGATAATATTGGAAGGCAAAGGAATAGGGGCTTTTCTAATTGGAAGTTTTGTATTTAAAATGTTTCGAGGTGACAACACAAATGAAGAAATAGGCAAGTTAGATGCTATGAGTATTGTATTAATATCCATAAAACGTTTCTCTTCAAGAAGTTGTTCATACGGGTAGATCTTAATAACTATGTCTTCCTCAGGAATGCTAAAATATCTAATGTGTGGGAGACATGGTTTCAAAGTTTCTTTCAGGTTAAGAAATTATCGCTTGTCCATTCATTGCGAAAAGCAGGTAACATTGTACTTTTTGTTTTTCACCAATGAACTATATATTTCCAAATTTTGCCTTCTTCTAGTTGCAGATCATCTCTTTTGAGAATAGATATCAATACATCTTCAGGGTGACAATGAAAATTTTCAGACTCAAAGATAGTATTAGGATGTATCATTATAGAAGTTCGAATAATTTCAAGATTTTTGACTTGATAACTTGCTCAATAAATTAGAGCAAATTTCAGTCTTAACCAAGAAGCACAGTTGTTGACGAAGTAAGTTTGGAGATGTTTAACTAATTCATCCAGTTCAAGTTCATTAGATGCAATTAATAGGTCAAGAATAGTAGAATTTTCTAATTTTTCTAACGAAATTATTCCACAATAAATATATCTAGATTACATTAAAAATGAGAATATTAATATTATTTTATTTAAGTAAATAAATATATTAATTTATAAGTTATGTTTACTTGACAATGATATTGAACATTTTAATAGAAATATTAGTGATTGGCATCGTTAATACTTTGATATGATCCCAATTGAAAGGAAAGTAAGGACTACGAGATTTTAAATATAAGAATAAACTTTAAAATTTGATTATTAGGAGCTTCACCAATTTCGATTTTAACACTATAATCATTTGGCTCTTTGAGAAGTTGAGTAAGGTCGTTTAATAAACATTCAAAAAATTTAGTAGTCATTTTTCGTAATTATAAACGAAAATACGGAAGTTAAATTTGGATTTTTTTTTAGAAATAAGACAAATTAGCACAATGAGGTCACATGAAGACTTTTGCATGCATGATGTAACTCTTTCTGTGTAATGTTAAGATAATTATGATCGTCAGCAAAGGTGTTCGTTTCATAAAATTCAGTAAAAATTTTCAAATATATTATATATTGTGCAATGAGGTACGAGATATACGTCCCTTAAAGCCTTCGAGTGAAAGTGTCTTTTGTTCTAGAAAAAAAAGAAGCCTGGTTGGTATATTTTTGATCGTTAAAATTAATTGTTATGTTAAAGATCTAAAGATCTCGAGTAATGCATTGCATTGTTATTGCTTATTCGTATTTAACATATTTAACCAATGAAAAGGATAAATAAATAATACTGACCATTCCAATATTTTCATATCATCAAATTTTGATCTTTTAAAATGTTAATTAGAAGGTACCCTATCAATTACTCAGAGGTATAAGGAAACCCGAATTCACGTAAAAAGCTACTTAATATCAATAATAATAACGATACACATAATTTAGAATGTTTTTATCATCATCCGTAAGAAAGATGATCGAAAAGATTTTAAGAATGACTACAAATTGAGATTAGAATAACTCTTTGGACAAAAGTTCCTTTTGATGCGAATTTAGGTAAAAAAAAATAATTTTAACTTAATAAAAAAAGATTATTTATTAATTTTTCTCTAGAATATATGTGTATCTTTATTACTTTTGACATTTTTGGGACATTTATTCTTAATTATTATGATTATTTATTTGCATAAATGATGATTGTATAAGCATCACAATAAATAATTAAAAAATACAAAAATAAATCAAATAAATAAAAATAAATTTATTTGACTAATTAGGTCAAAAAAATTTTTAGTGCATTCTTCTCGTACATGAAATTCTTATTTATTTGCACTTCTTACGACCATTATCATAACGTAAAGGAAAATTATCTGATCTTCGTCGAAAATAGAAGATCGATGTTTTAATAAATTAATTAAATTTATTTATTTCTAAAATACTTTTGTAATTCCCTTAAGATTTATTACTTATATCATCATCCTCATTATCCTTATCATCAGATTTTCCATCATCATTTACCAAATGGTGAAGCAGCAGTAGTAATAGTGATGATGTTAATGATAAACACTATATTAGTATATCAAAAAAATTAGATGTTCTCGTTGCTACTGCCACTGATGATAATCCTTTTGACGATGATGGTGATGATGTCAAACCATTTTTTAAAGTATTAACAAAGTGCCTTGATTCTTGATTTATTAAAGTTTTAATAGAAATATTATTAATATTATTAAAAGTATTAATATATAAATACAAATCAAATAAATCTACGAAATGGCATAGTTGTTTTATGGAAACAAGATCTTTGATAAGTAAATATAAAAAAAAAAAAATTTATTACAAGAAACTCTTTTATTGTTTAGCATTTTACTTTAAAAAAGAGAAGGATCTAAATAATTATTATGTTATTTATTTACATAGTTTCATGCACAATAGGATATCAAAAGTCAATGGACAACTAAAAAAGTTACTAAATTTAAAATGCTAATGCTAATTCCTATACATAGAGAAATTACACTTCATATAAAATTGCAAAAAAATAATAAATTTAGACTTTTATTGTTACCCATACTGGACTTGATGGGTATTAAGGATAGGATACCAACTATCATATATGCAATTATAGCCAGAAGTAATGTCTGAAACTTTTTATGGTATCTGATGGAAATTTGGACTTTGAAAATCATTAAAATATTAAAAAATAAAAATCTGAAAATAATTATAAATTATTTCCACATATAAAGTATTTTCTTTACAAATATACTAATAAAAATGCTACTAAGTAACATTAAATCTGACATTAAAAAGCATCTGATGTAAAGTATTTGTTAAAATTGAGTGAATAATTAACAATTAAATTCCAGAAAATAATTTTTTAAATATTCAGTGTTCAGCCATTGATAGTAAATTCAATTCTTAAGAAAAGTTTATATAAGATGTTATACATCTTTGGCTATAAGTTTAATTTGTATAATATTTGCTGTTTTATTAATACATAAATAGCAATTGATTGAATTTTTCTTCAATATCAACGGTAAAATGATCGACAATAATGTCCTAGGAAATTGTGATTTATTGTCGATCATTTTATCTTTATTACTATATACTAAAAAAAAAATTCAAAAATAATTATCAATCGTTATTACATATAAACTTTATTTCTATGGTAATAAAACAGCAAATATTGCACTAATTAAACTTGCAGCAAAGACGGGTAGCAACTTGTATAAACTTTTATATTTTTTTCTTAAAAATTGAATTTACTATCAACGGCTGAACGCTAAATATTCAAAAATTATTCTCTGGAATTTAATCGTCAATCAGTCGCTCGATTTTAATAAAATATCACTGATTACTTTAAATAAGATACTTTTTATCTCACCTTTAATGTTACTTAGTATAATTATTATTAGTGTATTAGTAAAAAAAAAAAACTTCTATGTGTAGAATATGTGTAGAAATAATGATAAGTATTTCCAGATTTTTTTTTATTTTTTTAATAAATTTCGGCCGATTTTAATCACGTCGAAGTAAATTCCAAGCTTTTACTAGGTACTATAAAACTTTGTTCTAATTAAAGTTATAGATAGTATTACTGGTTACAATTTCATATAAGATTGTTGATATCTATCTTTAATATCCATTGAGTCAGGTATGAGTAACGTTCAAAGAATAATTTTTTTGTCAGTTTAATTTGAAGTGCAATTTCTCCACGTGTAAGCATTCAATTATAACATAAAATATATAATATGATAGCTCCAAGTTTAGAGAGTTCAAATAAAAGAAAAAGTTTGTCAACAATCATCACTTTAAATTCAACAATTTTTTATTGATCTCTAGTTGCTCAGTGAACTTATGATACTCCACTGTACATAAGTATATAATTTTTGCCTATGAAAAGACATTAGAAATTAGATCTTTAGATTCAATATTAACTAATCAAAATTATTCGGTTACACCCTGGCGTTTGTAGTAATAGTACGGTTCGGCGTCACGTTTCTGTCGATTGGCTTCACGCTTGTAGTAATAGTATGGTTCAGCATCCCTCTCAATGGCATCTCTTTTGTAGTAATAGTAAGGTTCGGCATCACGTTTATAGTAGTAATAAGGTTCGGCATCACGTTTCTCTTGGTTTGCATCTATAGAGTTAAAATTATAAATTAAAGAGATTTCAAAGATGGAAAAAATTTTTAATAATAAAAATTACCAGCAAACGATGTTGCTGCTAATAAAGATAGAAGAACGGCAACTACTGAGAATTTCATTTTTTGTAATATTGAAAAATTATATTATTTTTTAAAAATGATGTAAAAGCTAAAGTGAGGATGGAAAGAATGGATTATAACAAGGGTTTTATGGAATTTAAATACCATAAGTTAAAGATTATCTATTCAAGAAATTGTTTAGACATAATAGCATTTTGCTTATCATTATCAAAATATTTGTTAATCTTTTGTTTGTCATGGCTTAAATTTAGTATATTGTTTGTAAGAATAATCATTACCTCTATGATAGTTTATTTACTCTTGCATTCAATAAACGATAATAAACAATAATAAACAATAAGCAACGAAAATAATAAAACTAATTAAACTCATTTATAAAAAAAAAAAGCCTTCAAAAATAAACATTATTTGTTTTTTCCCTGATCTAAAATTTTTTTTTAAAAAAGGTTACGAAGTAATAGCATTCATATTTGACAGAAAACACGCACATTTCTATTTTTTTAAATAATAAAAGAATTACTAAAACACAAAAATATTTGAAGCCTCGCACTGGAAATCAGGTCAAGATGCCCTACATATATAAATATATAATAAATTGGTATTTGGCATTTTCATAATCTCCAATATCCAAAGCCACATTATTTATAATTTTAAGATTCATCTCTGATGGAAAGATGACAGATAGATTATGAGAACTAATTTTGGTCATATAAGAAATTGGGAAAGCCCGCAAGCCCCAAAATTTTAAAAATTTTTGTTTATAAAAAGGATAGTTATTATACGTAAAAATCAAAAGGTTTTCAAGCCATCATAGAATAAATTCGAATACCGGAGACGTGACACATATTAATCATATTTATTTGTGTTTCAGTTTATGTACAACTTAACAAGAAGTTATAAAAATAACACAATTTTGTTTTAATAAGTTATAAAATTCACAAAAAGATGGAATTTATTCTTCTTTTACCATGTGCATCATTCACCAATGTTATGCTAAAGCAGACCAAGAGAAATACAAAGAATTTCTTAAAACAAATCATACTATTATAAACTTAAAATTTACAAAGATACATCGAAGCTTCTCCCTACTATTATTTTTATATGAGAGATGTACTGCACGAAAAGAAGATTTACACTGTCATTAGCAGAATTTCTTAATTAACACGGGATTTAAAGCCATGAAAAATTATGCTTTATAACTTAAATAATTAAAATATAGCACAGTAAAGATAATCTTTATATTTATTTATGGCTTAGTGCTATGGCTTTGTGTTATTTATGGCTAAGTGTTATTAAAATCAAAAATCATTATTGTCGTGGCTTTATTATCGAAGAATGTTATGATCGAAGTTTTGTTTTAATAATTAGGAATTAATATTTTTCCAAAAAGTCGAAACAGCATTTGTTATTGTTGAACATTTTATGAAGCGAAATATTTATAAATGTTTGTGTGTTTATTAATATTACTAGTTCTTCTAGTTCTTCTAAGGTGAACAAACCTGAAAAAAAGAATTCGTTGATAAATATTCTTATTTCGATCTATTAAAATCAATTGTTGAAGATCTCAATGATATTTGAGATCAATGCATTGTTGTTTTATTTCCTATTGTATATTTAAACTACTTAATCAAGCGAAAGAATAATGAATGATATTTTGCATTCTCTCATATCACTTACGATCTCCACTTTTTGATCTTTTATAAATATCATAAATACCCGATAGCTTTCGTTATAACAGTCAGGGCGTATCCACTAATCGTCATGTAAATTAGAACATCAGCGATGGTGATTGTCACCACAGGGCAGAATTAAATTTACGCGGGCAAAGTTAGGGTTAGGGCTTGATAGGTAATTATGTAATTCTGCCCGGTGGGTGACAATCACCACTGGTGAGCTTTAGCAATACCCCTTCAAGTATCTCACCTGTTCGCAATATTTAATTTTTAACCCATTTTCTCTTGTATAAGAATGGGGAGCCCTGAAAATGAAATCGTGATCGAAATTGCAAACCTGCATGAGCAATTTCAAATGTCAAATTTTGATGAATTTTCTAAAAATAAAGACATGTGAAATTAGTGTATAAGAAGCTATTGTTTTTGAATATAATGATGATAGCTTCCTTGCAACTTATAAATCAATTGAAAATAGTGATAAAATAATATCAATTATGAGCTAAATGACAAAAAAGACATGGAAGCAGCATATGTAACCAATGAAGAAGTCAGGAAAATTATCAGACTCTTTAGATTCCGATGATAATTAGTCGAGAATTATACAATACAACAAGAAACACAAGGGAAACTCACAGAATGTTGTGTTAAGGATTATGAAGATGGAACTTTTCAAAAATACGGTAGTTGAAAAAGATTGCAGAAATTGTCACAATTAATTGGAAGTAATATTTCAATATTAAAATAGAAGATTAGTTAGTATTTTGATATGATCGTTATTGAAAGGTGTCTCGTTGAATTATTTTAGAGTAAGGACTACGGATTGTAAAATATAAGAATGAACTTTGAAAATTTGATTATTGGGAGCTTCGCTAATTTTAATTGATATATATAACCCATAAGGTCTTCAAGAAGTAAAGTTTTTTTTTATAAACGGTCAAAAAATTTAGTAGTCACTTTTTTTCGTCAATTAAAAATTATCAAGCGTTAAAAGTAAAATCAGTAAAATTTAATTGGTTTATTTGACATATAAATGAACGATATGACCAAATAATGCAATCAATAATAACTTATTAATTTTAATGAACTTGTGATTTTTTAAATATCAACTGAATAATAATTTTGAATTATTATTTGTGATGAAGACCTGAAAAAAATTGTTGTAAATAGAGGAAGATGTCAATTACAAATAACTAAAAATTTTTATTTGTATTTTTTGAAGAAAAAATTGATAAGGAATAGTTATAGCAAAATAAATTGTCGGCATTTTCAAAAGAGACTGAGCAATAAATAATTAAAATTTCGATATTTAAGTGAATTTTCGCTAAAAAATTATATTAGATTTTAAAATATCTTAAAAAAAATCTAAACTTATTATTATTATATATTATTACTTTAAATCATTTCTTGGTAAAATTTTGAAAACTTCATATTATTCAACTGAAAATAAAATTCATCGGAACGAATTGGTTCATGATATGAGCTACTAACTACGCTATAACATTTTTTCTCAAAATTCAAATTACCAGTTAAACGTAATCATTCTTTGGAAAATTATAAATGGCATAATTAAAATCCTTCACCCGACTTAAAATATAATTTTTCAGATTTTCATTTTTCAATGAAAATACAAAACTACCTGTGGCAATATTATACTGATGATTAGTATTATTCCAATTAAGAGGATTATACCCTTCAAGAATTTCTCCTGTGCCTTCAACTTTTAAAATAATGACTGTATGAGTTACCATATCACAAATAATTTAAATAGTTTTAACATCAAATCCATTTCTAGATCCTCTAACAAGTAATTTAAAGTCATATGGATTATTTTCAATACAAGGGTTTCTTTCTTGTCAATCCAGGACGAAATTTCTAGTGCATGTTCATCGGTGATAATATCAGAAGAAAAAGGAATTTGGTATTTTGAGGGTTTTTTGAGTTTTTTAGGTATTTCAGGTTGTTTATTTAAGATATTTCGTGGTAATATCATGATTGGGGTATTTCTAATTGGAAGTTTTGTATTTAGGGTGTTTCGGGGTGGTAACATAATTGAAGAAATTTGTTTGTTAGAGGCCAATATTTTAGTATTGATATCTTCCCAAAGTTTAGGTTCAAGAATTTGATGATATGGGAAAATCTTTTCTATCACATCTTCGTTGGAAAAACTGAAATATCTAATGTATGGGAGACATCCTTTTAAAGTTTCTTTTAAAGTTAAGAAATTATCGCTTGTCCATTTATCGAGACTAATAGGTAAGGTATAATTTTTTGCTTTTCCCCATTCAATTACATAATCCCAAATTTTCCTTTCTTCTGATTGTAAGTCATCCTGTTTAAAAATAGAAATCAAAGCGACTTCGGGGAGAGAATGAAAAAAACTAGATTCAAAAATAATATTAGGATGTTTAGCAATAATATTGTTATAAAGGTTTTAATAATTTCAAGATTTTTGACTTGATAACTTGTTGATTAGTTTGAACAAATTTTAGTCTTATCTTGTCAACACTTGTGCTTCTTGGTTAAGTTTGGAGATGAAAAATAAATTCATCTAGTTCAAGTTCATTAGATGCAATTAATAAGTAAAAAATAGAAGAATTTTCTAATTTTTCTAACGAAATTATTCTGCCATAATTATATCTAAATTACATAAAAAAAATATTATAAATATTTAAGTATAGATTGGCTTTCAAAAAAAAACTATAATAATATTTAAGAGATTTATGCTTACTTGATAAGGGCATTGAATATTTTAATAGAAATATTAATGTTAGGCATCGTTAGCACTTTGATATGGTTGTTATTGAAAGGAGTTTTGTCGAATTTATTTTAAAGTAATGACTACGGAATTGTAAAATGTAAGAATGAACTTTAAAAATTTGATTATTAAGAGCTTCACCAATTTTAATTGTAACATTATAATCAGTAGGTTCTTCAAGAAGTTGAATAAGGTCGTTTGATAAACGGTCAAAAATTTAATGGTCATTCTCATGAATTAAAAATTACTAAACGTTAAAAATTGATAGTTAGTTAATTGGATTGTTTTTTTGACATATGACCAATAGTGCGTGACAGAAAATATTTATAAAATTTAATTTATTTTAGCTTTTAACATAACAAAATTAACACAAAAATAAGGTAACCATAACTAACTTTTATTCTTTTTATAATAGTAAAAAGTTTTCAAATATTTGACAATGGGTAATAACATACTTGATATAAGATCTTTTTTTTATTTCGTGATCTGTTAAAATTAAAATTCATTGTTATTGTTTAATCGTATTAAACTTATTTATAATATTTAATCAAGGAAAAGATTAAATAAATAATATTTGTTTACTTTATTTCAAATCTTTTCATATCATATTT